ATTAAACAATGTCCCCTTTGATGGGCATAAGGGCAATATGTGTATTAAAATATATTATGAGGGTAATCTTAAAAATTACTTGTTTATATCCCACATTATATTTTGTGAGGTGATGGCTTCTCTCTAGTCCGATGGACTAGAAAGTACTGTTGGGACTGTGAGGACCCACCACAGGTTCCGTTTCGATGATTTGAACCATTCAATATGTAAATCTTGTCGAGTACTATATGTTTGTAAAAAATCACGTTAATCGAATATCAATAGCTACGTGATTTTATCAATTAGTTTTGTATAATAAAAACAAATGGACGATGAAAAAAATAAATGGTTGAAAAAAATTTGGTTCGATGAGATAACTATCGATATCTGATCAATGTGGTTTTTTATAGGCATATAATATTCGATAAGTTTTACACATTGAACAGTTCAGATTATTGAAACGGGACCCATGGTGAACCTCCACTGGCCCAACAATAACAAACCTGGATAAGATATATCCAGTGTTTCCAATACATATATCATATTTATTATATATCCTGACTAATCTCACATCATATTATATCTACCATTTTATATACAGTGAAACAAACGGGGCCTATTAGATGCACTTAAAACATAATTTAGTAAACACTGGAAGCCTCTGGCCACTTTTGGATGATTTAATTAATTTGTTTTAAAATTTTTGTATATAAATCATCTGTTTGAAAAAAAAAAAAAATTTTCTTATTTAATAATTATAATTACATAATTTCACTATATTAATATTAAAAAAATATATGATGAGTATAATTTATAATGATAAGTGATTATCATCCGATCAAACGTCAAATCCACGAATCCACTGCATAACTCAAAATTGAGCTCTTCTAAAAAATTATAGACCTAAGTTTGGATATGGCTGAAATTTTGATCAAAAAATAAATATATAAATTGATTCCCATGACCAGAACATTTGTGAAAAGGTTGGCATAATACTCTGATTTCTCATTATCTATTTCAACAAAATTCACGTCCTCAAATTAAGTAGAAATTCGATTCTTCCACATTTTCATGAAAATCTTAGGCTTTATTTGAAAGAGTTTAGAATTATAATTTCACCTCTTTATTTGCACGTGATGTTTGATTGTAATTTTTAAAAATTAATTTCACACCTACTTTTGAAAACTCATTTTCAGGAGGAAAATTTTGGCCTACCTAGTCATCCCCCGAACGTTCCGCCAGCTGATCAAAACAGTGTACATTTTTTTTTTGAACCTTTTATTTTTATATTTTAAATAAAAAATATTCCCAAATTTTTTATCAATTTTGAATAGAATTTTGGATTGTGTGTTTGGTTATGAGTTGTAAGTTTTTAAATTAAATATCATATGTCACATCATTTATTTCAAACTCTTTCCAAAACTCTTTTCAAAACTCATAACCAAACAAATTTTTCACACTTAAATCATAATTTTAAAACTCACAAACTTAAAATATAACTTGTATTCCCAAATCATATTTAAAACTTTTTTACCAAACGTCACCTTACATTCTTACAAAAATAAAGTGAGTAATGCTGCTCACATGATGTGAGATCCATATTCATATACGTATTTGGTTATTTTTTTGGTAAATCATATTTTTATGAAAATCTTACATTCTTACAAAAAAAAAAAAAAAAAAAAAGATAATGCTAAGGATAAAAAAAATTACCAAATACTTACATGAATGTAAAACCCATACTCACATAGTAATTTTTTTATAAATCATTTGGTTAACATTATTGTAAATAAAATGTTAACCAATTGAAAGTCAAAAATTAGTCTCTAGCATTTGGTCTCTAGCATCATTGTCTTGGGGACCCAATGACAACACAACAGCTATTGCAAAGCAGTAAAGTGAACGCCAAAGTTGAAAAGCCTTCTCTTCAATAAAATTCTAGGATAGCCCAACTTTGAAAAGCCATCGAAGACGATAAAATCTACATAACAAACTTTGCCTATTTGGTGGGATTTATTATGAATTAAAAATTAAAAATTAAAAAAATGAAAGTTAAAAATACATTTTTTAACTTCTAAATAATTAATTTTTTAAAATTTATAAGTTACTAATCGTAATGAACTGTAGGCAAATGAATTGCACCGAATAGCTCTTTTACCAAGACAACTAAGGGGTTGTTTAGGGTGTCTTAAATAAGTGTACTTTTTATCTTTTTGGACTAAAAAGTTAAGGAAAAAAATATAGATGTTTGGGTTAACTTTTTGACTTTTTTATGAAAAAATGTGTATTAAAAAATTGCATAAAGAAGTGTGTAGGAGAAGATTGGAGAGGTGTGGGCCAGAGCCGTACAATTTGCACAAGTGAAATGGGAGTAACAAATTATTGGCTACTTTTCGGGCATTGCACTGGACGGTTTTGTTCGGCCCGTGGGGGTCATCACGAGTCCCATTTTGATAATCTGAATCGTGCAATGTGTAGAACTCGTCGAGTACTATATGTCCATAAAAAATCACGTTGATTGAATATCGATAGCTATCTGATCAGATTTGTTTTTTTTCAATCGTTAATTATAACACCATCCATTTGTTGTACATAACTGATTTGTTTATGCAGTTATCGATATCCGATCAATGTAATTTTTTACAGACATATAGTACTCGACGAGTTCTACACATTGAACGGTTCATATTATCAAAACGAGACTCGTGATGGGCCTCACAGGTCGAACAACCATCTAAAATTACACCCAATCATTTCATTTTTGTCAACAAACGAAGCACAGCAGCTGCACATAGATGATATCAAAGTTGTACTTTTGCTTAGAAAATTGATTTTTTAATTTTTTTTAGGTGAATAGTGATAACTTTTTAACTTTTTGAGTAACTTTTTGACTTTATCTTTTTTAAGCTATGCCAAACCAGCCCTAAATAATTTCCTTGGTGGTACACAATAATAGACCATTCATACATATCAATTTACTTCCTATCTAAAAAACATACATATCAATTTACATGTTTTTGGTGCCTTCAACAAAATTCCCATTTGTCTTATATATTATAGTGGCTGCATTAGTCCTTCAATCTTAGCAAGGGAAACCGAACAAAATATTGCATATGGTGAATTAGGAGTTGAAAGATGAACGTATCCACCAACTCGTTGAGTCAAACTATCATTTTCATCATTGAAGACCTTCGTGTTTAAAACAAACAAAAAGTTAATTGAGATTGATTAAAAAATAATTCGTGTTTCATACGTGTATGAATTGTGTTCAACGTGTTTAATGGATTTACTAATATTGTGTTTGATTGGGGGATTATGAAGGAATTTGGAAAGAAAAAGGGAAAAGGTGTGTGAAACTAGGTAAAATTTAGGCATGTTTTATTCACATTTCACCTACCTTTTCCATTTTCCTTTCCAAATTCCTCATCAAATTCCCGAACCAAATACAATATAAATACACTCATCTGGTTAGCCAAACATGTTTGCTTGTGCAGAATGAATTACATAAGATTAACATTTCTAAGATTATTAATTCTCGGATTGTGTATTTTATCATGTGTTTGTGTTTGGATTGATCTAAATAAAGAGTGGCAAAATACTAACTAGTTAGTCTGAAACTTTTTCTACACATCACCTCTCTTCTTTTCTATACATCTTTTTGTAAAAAATTAAAAATATATATTTATTTAGATCATCTCAGATAACATTTTAATCTCTGTTTTGTATCCCACCCTATCAGTTTTTGGGGAGACAAGCCCAAAAGGTAGAAAAAGAAGCCAAGTCCATTGCAGACTTCTCTCTCCCCAACCTCTTCGTCAACGAAACCCAAAGCGCAAACCCATTTGAAAAGGCCATACAAAAATCCGAATGTGACAACATTGATTACCCTAACCCAAAAGAAATTTTTTAAATATATATATATATATGCCAATTTGATTTTTGGATTTTTCTATCTTGGTCAAGGAACTGGAACTCAACCAACCCATCCGGATCTGCTAGTGGTAGACCATATAAATGACAGAAAATGCTATAGATCCAAATTTTCTATTTGTATCCCTCGCATTATCTTATTAACATTATATGCCCAAACCTAACAGCTTATGCACCGTCAATTGAAGGTTCAGTTGAGAAGCAATAGGCACACTCTGGTCATCTTCCCCCTTCTTCATCTTATAAAAAAATATATATATAAAAAAAAACATTCTTGTAAAAAATAAATGAATAAATAAAATTAATCAAATATTTGTAACTATATCATCAGATGATGATCAGTTTTTTTTTTTTTTTTTTTTAAAGTATGATTTGAGCATAGACTGTATGTATTTTTTAATAAATGAGATCCGATCATATGACTATCAAGATCCGCTTATTTTTTACATAAATGATTTGCTCGACAAGGCCTACAAAGACCGCTCGGATCAACAAAGTGATTCAAGAGTGATCACAGAGTATGCCACAGCCCCTCAACTAAACCTCCAATTCAAATTCGATTATATGACTATCAAGATCACCTTATTTTTTACATAAATGATTTGCACGACAAGGCCTACAAAGACCGCTCGGATCAACAAAGTGATTCAAGAGTGATCACAGAGTATGCCACAGCCCCTCAACTAAACCTCCAATTCAAATTCAATTAATGGACTCTTCCATATATCTTCAATCAACAATACAATATGTACAGAATTAAAATATAAAAACATATACATAAGGTGCACTGATTTATTTTAAATATAAAGAATCTCAACTACACCTTACATTTTTTTTTTCTTTTTTTTGTACATTCTGTGCATTTTAGTTTTGCACAACTATCATTTCTCATCTTTAATTCCTTCTTGTGGATAACATTATGTTATAAATGAATCTCATTTAATTCTGTTTGTGTGACACGTGTGAGTTATTAAAAAATAAAACAGAAATAATAACAAATAAATTAAGAAAATTAAAAGTCAAAAAGATCTGAAAAAGATCATGTGATGGGTTCTTAATTTCCAGTGTGACAAACTGACAATCCCACCATGTAAAAGAAAGCTTTAGAGCATGTGAATGGCCCCTCCATTCCCACATGTTAATGTACTACTTTTTAAAGACCAAAATTAATCCCACAAACTTTAATGGATACTTGAGGGCACCACTCCAATGGTTGCATGTCTACCTGGCTTACCCTGTCTCCCAATTCTAAGAAAATTACACTATTACAACCACACAACTAAAAAAAATAATTCAATTTTAGGTTGGAAAAAAAAAAAAATTTACAACACTTGAAAAAGAAAATATTATATAAGCTCTAACTTTCTTTTCTTTTAATCTTCTCTTCTCTTTTTTTTTTCTTTTTCTTTTTTTTTTTTTAAACATTTTCTCTACTAATACTAATCAGACGGTTGAAAGCGAAGCGCAAGAACAAGAAGGGCACCTGATCAGACCGTTCTCGTTGCACGCGGTACACGTTCTGCCATTTCTCAGAGTAGCATTTGTGGCTTCCGCTACACTCGTCGCAGAGGATAAATCGGTAGCCGCCGCAGACCTCGCAAACGCCGGGCTCAGCCGGCGGCAAGCCATCGACTAATTTCTTCAGCTCGCCAGCTTCGTGGAGCTGCTTGATCTCTTCGGCGCCGCCAATGTACCGACCGCCGATGAAAACCCTAGGCAAGATCAGCTTGGCCTTGATGTGATTTCCCAAGATCCCCTGTAGCTCTTCCATGAACTTGTAGTCCATCGTAACATCACGCTCGTCGATCGAGACCATGAATCCGCGGAGAATCGATCGGACGGTCCGGCAGTCCTCGAAGGTGGAGCGGACCACGCGGAGGCTCGTGAAGTAGACGACTATGCGATTCTGGTCCCCGGGGAGGAGAATCGGAGGCTGAGATTGGAGGGGAGAGGGTTGTTGAGGTGGGGAGGAGGGTGAGGCATTGGGGGGACGAGTTGACCAGGCGCGGAGGACTGAGTTGGCGATGCGGACGCGGTGGAAGATGGAAGCTCGGGGTGAATTGGAGGCGTGTAATTGTGAGGAGTTGTTGAAATCGTCAGAGCAGAGGTGTTGGATGTCTTTGAAGGAGGAGCAAGAGAAGTTTGGTGGTGTGGTGCGAACGTGAACCTTGGATTTTGACCGCTGCAGCCACATGAGGTGAGAGATCTAGATTAGTGGCGGTGGCGGCGGAGGATGAAGATTGAGAATCGAGAGAGAGAGAGAGGTGATGGGTTTGGGGAGAGTTGAAGGTGGAAGGTGGAGGGAGGTGCAAAGGCGAGGGAGACGGGGGCGGGAGACGGAGGGGTTTGAGAGCGCGGGGGGTAGAGAGGGTGGGTCAGCTCTTATTCCTTTCTTTTCCACACCTCGTTTGGATTTGCGTTTTAGGGGGAGTGAAAGAGATAAGGGGATTGATACTCATGGTTTTTATTTTATTTTATTTTATTTTATTTATTAAAAAAAATATATGAAAAGTACATGGAATGAGAAGCGAAATGACAGTTTATGGAAAGAGGCTCTTTTTGGTTTTTTTCTTTTTTTTTTAAATAATATTAAAAGATGAAATATGTAAAAGTAATGTTCTATTAAATTTATAATTATTTTTTTTCATAAATATTATATTTAATCATAAAAAAATGTAACTCTTTCCTCAAACATAATTATTTTAGTTAAGTTAGCCATCTATGAAAATAGTTTACTACAATATTCAACTTCTCAAATGGACCAGAGTAATGGTAGAGCATCTTCGATGCTTATTTAAATTTTTTTATTAAATTTAAGTACAGATTTGATAAAAAAAACTATTTAATATTATGTGTTCTAATGTTAATTTTTCATCAAACAATCAGTTGATTAAGAAGAAGTCTAGGCAGATATCCAGGAGGTCATCCGGTTTGTGTGAATTTTCATCAAACAATCGGTTGACTAGAAGTACAACTGGCCAATCATCCGGTATACGGTGAAACCTCTGCAAAAGTAACAATTATCTACAAAATTTGATGAAAGATGAAATTTTTGATTTTTTTTCCTTATTTGATATAGATTTGATGCCATGATTGAAGTAGAAAAGGTGCGCATATTTCATCAAATTTAAATTTGATAAAAATTCTAAGTAATGGTTAGAAACAATCTTAGAGATCTTAAAAAAATTATTAAAATTTTTATCAAATGTCTTGCATATTAATAATTTAAGAATAAAATAGCGAGAATGATGATAGTTTAGAAAATAAAAGTAAAATTAATTCTAAACATAAAAAGGGTAGCTATACCTCTCATTTAAAATAAAATAAAATAAAATATATAAGTTTTTAGCTTTACAAAATTGGTATTAAAAAAGTGATTGGGCTTCTCTCCAATTCATAAAGTAAACTAGAGCATATTGTTGGGCTCGTGAAGCTAATTACAGGTCTCATTTTTATGATTCAAATTGCTCAATGTGTAGAGCTCGCCAAGTATTTCATCCCTACAAAAAATCACATTAATTGGAGTACATTTTTATCAATGATAAATATGATTTTAAAAATAAATTATTAACAAAAATATGTTCTAATTAAGGAGCTATTGATATCTGACCAATATAATTTTTTACAAAATTTAAATACTCAATAAGATTTACACGTTAAAACAATTCTAATCATCGAACCCAACAAGAGAAGTCCATCTGAGAAAAAATTATAAGTTTTTAGCGTTACAAAATTGGTATTTGCACCACATTGCCGTTTGTGATTGTTGTATAATCAAAACTAGAAAGAATCTTTATTTTCCCTATGTTAATTATTATAGGAAAAATTATAAAGAAGTGTATTTCTACAAAATATTTATATAAAAACAATTTATAACTTTAATTATTAGAATTGATAAACATTGTTGGCTATATATTTTGTACAAATCAATCACTGTTCGGCACGTGACAGAATGAGGGCAGTACGAGAAGACAATTCAAATCTTCAATCATAATCACACGTGTGGCAGTCAACATTGGTTTATTATAGATCTGCGTAGCACTGAATCAGTAAAAAGATGCAAGGTAATGTGGCCATTAACGGTTACTCATATATTTAAATTCAAAAATCAAGAGGGAAGCTTAACTGCATATGGCATAGTGGAGCTAACTGCAAGGAAACATGATCAGAGGTCATGAAGGGATGGTTTGACGGTTAGAAATCCATTTCGACGGTTGTCATTAAAAAGTATAAATAGCAAACAAGGCCTCAGAAAAAGCCCCCAGATTCAGATCAAAAAAATCAGTTTTATCTATTTTATTTTCGTTCAAGTTTTTACATTTTTCTCGTTCTTTACATTTCTGTACTTCAAATTCCTGCATTGCACTTCGTTCATAGAAGTAGTTTCAAGTAGTTTGTTGCTGTAACCATCTATGAGGCTAATTTAGATCTTTGTAAGCCTTTCATTTTTCTTAATGAAATGTTATAATTGTTCTTCATTTAATTATTATTTGCTTAATTTTCCTAAACAAAGCCACCAGTAAAAGGCCTCTTCATTGAGGCTGAAAGAACTAAAACACAATCGTCTGATAATTGGTTGTCAATTAATATTCTGTAAGAACTAATTGATCATTGCTGTCACGCTCACAATTACAATAGTAACTTTTGAAAGCCAAAAAAGCCAACAAACGTTTTCATTTATTTGTAAAAAAAATTTAGAAACTTGCATTGAAGTGGAATTTTTCTATTATTATAGTAACTAAAGAAAAAGAATAGAGATCAAACATAATATGATATAAACTAAGCACGAAGTAAGCGCGTTAGAATTGATTTTTTCTATTTTTTTTATTTTTGTGTGCGTGTGAATCCAAAAGTGACATGAATTAACAACATGAAAAATAAGTAAATCAACCACTTAAATTAATTCAATAATCAAAATCCGTATACTTCACTTGGTCAAGATTTTGACATATCCCAATCAAATATATCAAATACATATATATATATATAGTGTCAAAATCACATAATATGAATTTAATCTGTTAACACATTAAAATATAGTAGAGAGAGATTTGAAGTGAAATGATAACTTTTGGCGGAGAAAGAATCGGTTTGGGGGACCAACCGGGAAGGTTAAGTTAGGCGGGTGGTTACTGGTTAGGTTTGTTGAGAGAGGGTTGTTATTATCAACCATTGTAAGGTGTTTTTTATTTTATTTTTTAATAAAATGGTTAAAAAGTATTTATACTTTTTAATATATATGAAAATAATTATGTCAAATTGGATAACTAATAAAATCTAACAATATAAACTCGCTAGCTTAACATTAACAATTAAGGGCCTAGTAAGTAGGAGTGGGCACGGGTTGATTGCGGTCACGAAACCTTTAATTCGCCATCCATCTATCAGATTGGCGGATTGGAGAAAGTCAACCCGTATCTGTCCGCCAATCTAACGGATGTGGATTGAGCAGATTAACAGATGGATGCGAATCGGTTTGACGATTTAAAATTTTATAAGTTTTTAACATAATTCAGCTTGTACACTTCTTCAAAAAAAAAAAAAAAAGATATTACAATCACTGTATGTCTCAACCGGTTTAGACGGATTAGTATATCCGCTACCCACCCCTACTAATAAGATACAAACAACTAAATAAAAACTCTTTAATGAAATAGAAATAATCAATCTTAACTTTTAATAAAAATTAACCCTCTAACCTTTCGATTGAATGTACCAACTGAGCTAACAAAGTGGGTTCGCTTTATTGTAAGTCTAGATAATCAATAAAAAAAAAGTCTAAAATTTTATTCAAAAAAATAATGTTTTGACTGAAGCCTCGTTTGGGAACAGGCTAATTTAGTAACTTTTTGGCTATTTAGTTAAAATATAAGCTAAAAAAAACTAATATGTTTGGGATAACTTTTTGACTTTTTACGAAAAGATGTGCAAAAAGTATAGAAAAAATAGAATTTTTAACTTTTTGGTATGGGTTGTTGGCTTTTTGATTTTTTTAGTAATTTTTTGACTTTTTAGCTAAACCGTTCGCTTCCCAAACGAGGCCTAAGATTTAATTTTTATATGATGGAGTTCATATTTTGATTGAATTTATATATATATATATATATATATTGGCGAGCTAAAATCCTAAGTAATTTTTTTCGCGTACTTTAAGTTGTTGTTTGCTTTAATGAGGAAGCAAAACAAAGGGTTGAGAGGTCTCAATTAGCATTTTGCTTCGCTTTTAACGATGTTTAAAGGGGATAAACTGAGAGATCAAAGGTCATGATCACATGAAATGGAATCAATCGAGTGTTTATAACTTATGAGGAAAATGTCACAATAATGAGTATTTTTATTATAAATAAAGAGTTCACAAAAATTCAGTTTATTATATTCAAAAAATTTGTTTGTATATCACTATTCTTGATTGTAAACCAAAATATTGTTTATTCTAAAAAAAATTTGTAAATTTTTTGCTAGAAGGCTTGTATTTTTTGCTCAAAGATTCATTCTAAAATTTTTTTTGGAAGGCTCAAACTTGATATGTTGGTCTCTTTTGATAAGACAAAAAAAACTAATTTATTAACTTATTTAAATCAGATCATCTCTTTTCTTTTTTATACGTTTTTTCATAATAAATCAATAAATTTAAAAAAAAAAAAAACACACATCCCAAAGTAGGTTGTTATGTGCAAATCACATATCAATTATCTTTCTATTTATGTAACAAATTTGTAAGAATATGTTTATATTGATATAAATTAATAATTTTATATGATAAAAAAATATTTTTTAATTGAAGAGAATAAAATAATACTAAATGATAGTTTAATATTATAAAGTATAATTTATCCCAATTTCTTTAATTAGAAATTACGTGTACTTTTCCCTCTAATCCTGCATCTCTATTCAGCATTGGTATAAAAGTCAAAAACTTAATAAAATGAAATCTTGTAAAATTTATAAAAAAAAAAATAATAATCATCATAATTGTTCTTAAACTTCTTCTAGAGACCCCACTCTCTGTCAACATCCATAAAAAATTTTAAAAAATAAAATAAAAGTACTGAAAAATGTGGAGATAAAGCTACAAGTTCAAAAAAATAAAAGACTAGTCACGTCATTAGCATATGATTGTACTTTATTTTATGAAAAAAAATATATCCTACTAAGATATCTTCACATCCACGGATTCTGATTTTGAAATAATTAATTACCAATTAGATTTAATTTAATTTAATTCATAAAAAGAGACTCATCACTAAAGAACTCAATAAACCTCAGTCACACGCATCAAAGGGGGGCAAGTATCAATCGAAATAAAGCGCAAAATATGTGGCTTTAATGAGGAAGCAAAACAAAGGGTTGAGAGGTCTTAATTAGCATTTTGCTTCGCTTTTAACGATGTTTAAAGGGAATAAACTGAGAGATCAAAGGTCATGATCACATGAAATGGAATCAATCGAGTGTTTATAACTTATGAGGAAAATGTCACAATAATGAGTATTTTTATTATAAATAAAGAGTTCACAAAAATTCAATTTATTATATTTAAAAAATTTGTTTGTATATCACTATTCTTGATTGTAAACCAAAATATTGTTTATTCTAAAAAAATTTTGTGAACTTTTTGCTAGAAGGCTCGTATTTTTTGCTCATAGATTCATTCTAAAAATTTTTTTGGAAGGCTCAAACTTGATATGTTGGTCTCTTTTGATAAGATAAAAAAAATTAATTTATTAACTTATTTAAATCATATCACCTCTTTATTTTTTTATACGTTTTTTCATAATAAATCAATAAATTAATAATAAAAAAAAAACACATCCCAAAGTAGGTTGTTATGTGCAAATCACATATCAATTATCTTTCTATTTATGTAACAAATTTTTAAGAATATGTTTATATTGATATAAATTAATAATTTTATATGATAAAAAAATATTTTTTAATTGAAGAGGATAAAATAATAATACTAAATGATAGTTCAATATTATAAAGTATAATTTATCCCAATTTCTTTAATTAGAAATTACGTGTACTTTTCCCTCTAATCCTGCATCTCTATTCAGCATAGGTATAAAAGTCAAAAACTTAATAAAATGAAATCTTGTAAAATTTATAAAAAAAAAAATAATAATCATCATAATTGTTCTTAAACTTCTTCTAGAGACCCCACTCTCTGTCAACATCCATAAAAAATTTTAAAAAATAAAATAAAAGTACTGAAAAATGTGGAGATAAAGCTACAAGTTCAAAAAAATAAAAGACTAGTCACGTCATTAGCATATGATTGTGATAAAGCTACAAGTTCAAAAAAATAAAAGACTAGTCACGTCATTAGCATATGATTGTACTTTATTTTATGAAAAAAAATATATCCTACTAAGATATCTTCACATCCACGGATTCTGATTTTGAAATAATTAATTACCAATTAGATTTAATTTAATTTAATTCATAAAAAGAGACTCATCACTAAAGAACTCAATAAACCTCAGTCACACGCATCAAAGGGGGGCAAGTATCAATCGAAATAAAGCGCAAAATATGTGTCCTTAAGATTTGATCCAGCCATTCATGTAGAACAAAATGCATTGTCCACGAAAACTAATGACATAGGAATAGTCTTTGGCTAAGAACAGAAGTGCCCTCTTAACTCTCATTATAATGTAACAAATTGGGTAGTAGTTATGTTGTCACTCTACTTCTAGCTTCTTACTCCCTTACTAAAGAGACAAAATATGATTAATATTGTTTTGGTATAATCTCAAGTTTAAGACAATAACGTAATATCAATCTATTATAATAATCTAACTCTATTAACATTCTACCGAATAGCACAAGTCACAGTTTTTACTCGCATCATAACAGGGAATCACTAGCATATCTCTATTTTTATAATTATGGCAATGGGGACCATTGTAGGTAGACACATGTGTGTAGTTAGATACAAACAATTAATTTACTATAGAGAGGAGACAAGGAAGGAGTGCATTGTAATTGTTGCTAAAAGCTAAAGGCTAAATAATTCTCACAGAGGAGAGTGAGTGGTTTCTGAAAAGTTTCATGTCATGTGTCTCTCTGAAGGCCCAAGGAAGCAGTAGCAGTAGCAGATAACAAAAGTGGAGGCGTGTCTTTCTGAATCCAACTCACGTGCTTACCCTTCTCTTCTTCAAGAACTAACAACCACCCCGATTATATATATATAACTGTTTTACTACACACCAAACATATATATACTTCAAATGTATAGAAATAGATTAAACACTATAAATAAATTTAAATTTTACACGTAAAACAATATAGCTCATAGGTAAACTTTGCTACACCCTATCCACCGAATTTTATCCTTTTTAAAGTTTCTTTTTTCAACATATATTTCTTTGTTAACATTCACAATTTTTCTGCTAAGTAACTTGCATATTCCCACCGTTATGTTTAGATTATGAATTTGAATAAAATTTTACAAAGAAAAAAGAGAAATAAAAAAAAAGGGCAAATTACATATACACCCCTCCAGGTTTGACAAAATTACAGATACCCCCTGAGGTTTGAGAAATTACGAATTCCCCCCTGAATGCTATATTTGCATAAGAAATTAGGGGGTAATTTGTTATGAAATATAAACCTCAGGGGGTAAATTGTTATGAAAATACAAACCTCAGGGGGCGGGATGTAATTTCCGAAACCTCAGGGGGTATCTGTAATTTAACCAAACCTGGAGGGGTGTATATGTAATTTGCCCAAAAAAAAAAAAAAAATTAACTCATATTGTTCTCACATTTTTCTTTTCTCTACCCAAATCATTATATAAATTCGTAATCCAAACATACCCCAAGTGTTTGAGACTTTTTTTAAGTCAATTTTAATGTATGATACAAAATGATGTGTTCAATGGTGGGCATTTTAAAACTTTAAACCATCAAGATATATTTTATTTACAAAAAACAAAAACCATTGCTATGCCATTCTGGTAGATAATTTTGTAGAAAAATTATAGAGGAATATAGCTTAAAATATCATAAGTAACTACTTTTCAGAGTTGGGGAATGTGCCGAGTTCTACGAGGGCGAGACTTATCTACTCCACCTGATGAACCATTATGAATGTTACAAGTTCACTCGACTACAGAATATGTATATTTTAATCTTCAATATCATGTTTTCACACGAACTAGAGAATGTATAATCTAATCTTCAATACCTAGTTTTCACACGTACCAGGGATTTTTCATTGTATAATAAATACCTACAAATCATCATCGCAACTGTTCATTCATTCACTGGCACCTTTGTTAGATACAATATGGAAGTTCAACTCAATAATCAACGCTTACTCTCAAGTGATTTGATAAATAAGGGCCAGTGGTTGGGCAAGACTAGGGTCCATTAATCCTACTACACCATCAGGTTTTTTCACTATACATTTAGATCATATTTGATTCACAAGATTAATAATGAAAATATTAATGATTTCATCAAATTAGTAAAAACTTATAAATGTAGGATTACAACTATATTTATCTCTTTTTCCAATCTTACACTTCATCAATGTTTCTTCGCAATCTTTAGATTATCAAAATTTCTTCATAAACGTGATTTTGGAAAAAAAATTATAAATAAATAAATACAAAATAAAAATACAAAATAAAAAGGTCCTGTTTGGTTTGTTTTTTAATTTTTTTTTAAATATAAACTAATTTGATAAAATATATTTGATAAAATAAATATCAAAAATTATTTTAAAATTTTTCAAAATTATTTTTAACCTTCTAAAATATAAAATTATATAAAAATAATAAGTGTTTTAATTTTCAAGTCTTTATTTTATTTCTCAATTCAAGATATATAATCTCACCCCTACCCCCATTAATAATAATCTTACAAATTTGTCGGATCAATTATCCATTGGATTAATAATCCTGAAAAAAAATTTCAAAATAAACACAGAATTATTAAGCCCACAAATTAATAATTTCAATCCCATGCTGGTCCTATCAATCAAACCTGCCTTAAAAGATTGAGATTAAACTACGGATCAGTTAGGAAGAATACCTATGCATCAGTACCGGAGCATTCTAGACTCTCTATTCTTGGCTCCCAACAA